ATTTTTAAAAATTGGCGAACATTTTTTTAAAATACTAATAAATTTGGAAATACAATAGTTTATAAAAAACTCAAACATTTTTTGAAAGTGCAGAACAAATTTGAAAACGTGAATAATTTTCAGAAACAAGAACACTTTTTTAAATTTGCAAACAACATTTAAATAAAGGAACAGTTTTTGGAAACACAAAAGTTTTTCCAGGACGTGAACATTTTTTGAAACTGCAGAACAAATTTGAGAACATGAATAAATTTTGGGAACACAAACTTTTTTTGAAAATGAGAACATTTTATGAACGAATTTAATTTTCAAAAACACCCAAATTTCCGTAAAATGCAAACATTTTTATAAATTTGTTGACAATTTCCAAAAAACACAAATATTTTTTGAAATAAACGAGAACATTTGTCGAAAACTCAAGCTTGTAGCATTTTTTTGGTTTTCTTCTACTTTTATGGGTTTTCAATCAACTTTTAATATTTTTCCATTAATATGAATGTTTATTTAATAAAAGGTTGTGCATAATCAATATTATTAAAGGACACGACCATTTTGTAAAACTGTAGACATTTTGTTATTACATGCACATTTTTAATAGTTTGCCAGTATTTTTTTACATGATTTCTTTATAAGCCCAAGTTTTTCTTTCAAAACTACATGATTTTAGAAAACATGTTTCATTTCTTAAATTGCACAAACGTTATGAAAACTCACAATAGACATATAGAAAATTCACAATATATTTTAAATATATATAATTTCATATATGTTCATGTATTTTTAATTAAATATGTATCAAAAAGGAGAAATAAGATAAAAGAATAGGAAATCCCTGAAAAGAAGAAGAAAAATAATTAAGAAAAAGAAAAGGAAGTGAAGATTAAAAACCGAAAGAGTAAAAAAAGAATAAAACCCGAAGAACGAAAAAAAGAGAGAAAGGAAAAACGAAGAGAAAAACGCCAGCGAAATCGCTAATGGGGCCTGGGCCTACTGCCCCACGCCTGTGCGTTAGGACAACTATTTGCCGCATTGAGCGGCAAATAAGATTTTCG